TGATATCTGGAATGAAGACAACACCTCGTGAGAGGCCATAAAAGGACAGTCATATTCTGAATGATAGCTTTGTTCCGTCACTTTAATATTATAATTATGCTTTTGTTGGTGTTCTTGAATGAAAGAAAGATTAGACAAAACTGAAAAAGGAAGTAATTGTGGATTCAACTTGATTCATATACATGTCACTGTTCTTGAATATATATATATATATATATATATATATATATATATATATATATATATATATATGTGTGTGTGTGTGTGTGTGTGTGTGTGTGTGATAAAATATCGTTTTAATTTATGCTATATGTATGGTTTAAGTGTTCAATATCAGGGATAAAGCGTATGTAAATATAAAACTGTACATTGATGTCAATACACAAAGACGACAGTCTGTTTCATGCTAAATGCAATCGTCAGGCCATGGTTATTACATTTAGCCGGAAACAGGCTGTCATCTCTGGGTGTTTACTTCAATGTAAACTTTATATATAATTTAAAAGTGTGCTCAATACAAAGTAGAGCAATATTATTTATTTTAGGGTATTACACTGAAAACATGTCAAAGTTTCTACACAATTGCAGTCGTGATTTGATGCGTACCAATGCATCTTATCATGCGATTGTAAATTACTCAAATTTACTAGGGTAATTTACAATCGCCTGATGACATGCTTTGATACGCATCGAAACACGAATGCAAAAGTGTAGCGATTTTGACATGTTTTCGTTGTAATATCCTAAAATAAATAAATATAAATAGTCAACCATAGACAGACCGTCTCGCTGTATCACATCAGTGTGGCTAGACACCCGATTGTTTTAAGATGGGATTAAAACCTGGCCGATTTGACATCAGCCAGATATTCTAGCCCAAAGCTAATCGAATTTTATATTTTTGACTGTAGTAAAGACGTCAGTAGCTAAGAGAGCTCGATTCGAGTAGAAGATCAATGCATTCGCAGCAGCAGCCACCGTTTATAATGGGCGAATTCAATCACTTTCGAATGTCTAGTGTTTTTTGTTTTAATTTAATATTTTTTATCTAGATTCTCTTCAGTGTCTTCCTACTTTTGCTTAAACGTTTATATATATATATATATATATATATATATATATATATATATATATATATACACATATATAACACATACATATATATATATATATATTAGGTTTAGTAAAAATAATGACGAGAATGTCGTTTTTGACGTTAAAAAATACGTCAAAAAACGACATTATTACGTCATTATTTTTGCACCAAACTAATATATACACACATACACACAAATATATATATACACACACACACACATATATATATAGACACACACACATATATATAGACACATATATATATATACACACACATACACACACACATATGTACACACACATACATATATATATACAGATGCACATACACATATATATACACACATACACACAAATATATATATATACACAAATATATATATATACACAAACACATATATATACACACACATATATATATATACACACACATATATATACACATATATATATATATACACACACATACACACGCACATATATACACACACACACACATATATATATATATACAAATATATATACACACATACACACAAATATATATATATACACACACACACACATATATATATATATATATATATATATATATATATATATATATACACACACACAGTTGCTGACTTGGGATTTGCAAACGCAGTTGGAAAGAGTTGATACTGACTTATACTAAGTTAAAACTTCATTATTTTATTTTATTTTTTACCCACCGGCGCACGGGTATGTCTACATGTGTGTGCGGGGCGGGAGGGGCATCTATGGGCTGCAGCTTTCCAAATAAGTTATCTGAAAGCTCGACTTAGAAATAATTTATCTAGAAGTCAAACCTAGGATTGTTTTGTTTTTTGTTGTCGTTGTTGTTTTTTTAATAGAAGTAGATAGGCCATGCTCCTCCCACCTCTTTTGAACAGGAATATAGGCTCATCCCTTGTTTCCTGTTTAGGAAGGAGTTCCAGGTTTCTTTCCTTTACATTTCTCAGGCCTTAATAGCGGTGATGTCATGAATATTTTGTGATAGGCGTGGATGGTAGCAATGTCCATTTATACCAAGGGTACCCAGCTGACAATTTTTGGTTGATGTTCTCGACTAGTAGTTAGAAGATAGGCCTCTTGCCTAACGTCTTGAGAGGCCGCTCTGATCAACAGTTGCATCATATCGGGGTTCTTGTAATGCCATTTAACGTATGGATAGGTGTCCCTGCAAGCAACTCCGGTGGGCAACCTGGAGGCCATACTATAGTGTACACGGCGTCACTTACCTTCTGTCCATGTTACCTTTGATGACTGACTGCTACCACTATCATAGGCATTTACCTCACCAATATAACACATCATGACTTTAAATGACAAAAGATAGAAATCTAAATTGGTGGCATTCGTACCAACTTCTGCAGTGTGGAATCTTTCCTCTTCAAAAAGTTTTCGGACATCTTAGCTCTCTGTGAAACTAACGTGAACTCGTCAATCCCTCCTCTCATTTCTCGATTCCTGGCTACCTTCCTCTACTCAGAAAGGGCTCCAAAGTTCAGATGCACGGCCTAGGAATTTATGTCCGCGAAAATCTCCTACTGGCTAGGGAACTCTCTCTTGAATCGTCAGACCATTCGTATATGTATCTCCGTCTATCTCTCTCATAAATTCAGTCAGTTGTCTCTCCTTTCTCTACTGATCTCCTTCTTTTCATGACTGTTACGTGCAAGATAGTATTTCCAATAATATTGACAAGTCCATCTCCCTACACCCGTCTGCTAACATATTCGTGTTCGGTGAATTCAACGCCTAACATACCAAATGACTTAAACACACTGTCACTGACACTTCTGGCATCAAAACCCCTAACTTTTCAATCACTCAATACCTGAAACAATTCTTGACTTTCCTATGCCTTTCAGTCAGTAACACTGACGGAAACGCATCTCTTCTCGATCTCTGTTTTACCCCTATCTCTGACACTTGTCACTCTACGCAGGACTGCCCTCATGGTAACTCTGATCACGCGTATTGTGTCTGTAAATATCTCCTTCCGCTCCCCCACTAGCCAATAATCCTCTACCAAAAGATTATCTTTCTGTTATCAACGAGCGGACTCTGTGACGTCCCTTGGAATGTAGTTTTTAATCATTTCCTTCAAAAATGTGCATCTTATGTCTCCTCTTGGGTAAAAGCCAGCATCGATGCTTTCATTCCAGTAAGAAAATACCTAGTTAAACCACATTCATCTCCTTGGTTCTTACCTGCTTGCTCAGCCGCTATAGCCCACAGGAATCACCTCTTCCATCCATACCAGAGTGTCATTTTTTGATTGTAACAGACGTCTCTTTGCTTCTGCTCGTAACGAATGCAAGTGTATGCTCAATGAAGCCCGGCTATCTCGCAAGTTTGCTTCTATAGATTATTGGCGGCTCTGCAAGAGTGTGATGAACAATAGCAAATCCTCAACCCCTCTTTTATTCAATCAATTTAAAGTCCTAACATCTACAGCTGTTAAGGCTGAATTCTTTGCTCGAAAATTCAACAACACTTGACTGATCCGATGTGCCCAAACTTAACACCTGAACTGAGGCTCTACTGAATTATAAGTGCATAACTCTGTCGTTGGTCTCGGACATCATTTCTAAATTAGACTCCCATAAGACAAGTGGAGGTGTCGGGATACTAGCCATCGTCCTAAAGAAATGTGCTTCTGAGCTGGTTCCAGTTCTCTCCAGGCTCTGCAACTATTGTCTCACTTCTTCTTGCTTTCCACCGTGAAGACCTCCTCTATCGTCCCTGTTTTTAAGAAATCTGGAAAACCTTCTGATCCCTATAACTATGTCCCTATCAGTCTCATCCCGCTTTTCAGCAAAGTCTTCAAGGCTTTAACCCAAGGGTCGGCAATCTACGGCCCGCGGACCCGATCCGGCTCGGGAAGGCATTTTGACCGGCCCGTGAGCCTGATTACCAATGATTCTATTTTTAACATGAGAGACGAGGCTTTCGAATTAGACTATCTGCCAGTTATCTTTCATGGGACTTATTTTACCAAGTTGCGTTGCCTACACTTTAATGTCAAATAATGGATACATATTTGTTATGATCCTTGGCTACATTAAAAGATAACAGAAGCGAAAGGAACGATAAAGTGAAAGAGGCCAGGGAGGGACTGACAAGCGAGGTAGCAGAAATCTAAAGACAGTTAAACATATGCGCATTATACATTCATGCCTCATGATGATACCATTCGTGGATGATACCGTATGTGTACGTACGTAAGTGTATATGTTTGCAACTATTTGTACTCGTATGTATGGGTATATGTGCTTCGTTTTTGTTTGATGTGTGTGTGTGTGGTTCGTTTGTGGAACAATTTTCAATAACAGTTTCAAACCTACACGTCATAATTTCATCCATTTTACTTCGGTTACTTTTTTTCACTTTGAAGTATTTTGACGTTCCTTGAGGAAAAGTAATCTTTGTTAGGTGTTTTTTTTTTTAATTTTAGATTTTCTTTTGTTTTTCTGACTTCTCTATGTTTATTTTCATTATGATTTTAAATATTTAGGTTGACAGGGGTCTGCATATGTAATTTTCCTTAATTTTTCATTAATGGCCTTCGTCCGGCCCGCGACCCGCGGGGTCGAATGAGTTGCCGACTCCTGTTATGACCAAATACACTCATGAAAAGCTTAAACGTATGCTTTATGACCAGTGTTTGTCAGTCTCACTATGAACTAATTATTCTTACAGAGACTCATCTTTTTTTTCTTTTCCACTGTGAGAGTGTTCCATCGAATAAATAGTTGTTATTATTTTTTATGCTTAAAAAATCTAAATAAAATCGGCTAGAGTATATAAAAAATCTTTTTCTTAAATTTAAGTTAAAAATTCTCAGCATTCCTCGGTCGTGTGCATGTGTAGTCTCACCAAAATAATATATGTACATATATATAGATATGAACAGCTGAGATAGATAGATAGATAGATAGATAGATAGATAGATAGATAGATAGATAGATACGAACAGGCTGAGATAGATAGATAGATAGATAGATATGAACAGGCTGGGATAGATATGAACTGGTTGAGATAGATAGATAGATAGATAGATAGATAGATAGATAGATAGATATGAACAGGCTGAGATAGATA